AGCTGCTTGGCAATTGCCCTGTAGCCCTTTCCAGCCTTGTGGAGGTCCACAATTTTGTCTCTGGTGTCTTTTGACAGCTCTTTGGTCTTGCCCATGGTAGTAGTTGGCGTCTGACTGACTGTGGGGTGGACAGGTGTCTTTAAAGAGTTCAGACAGGTGCTACTAATTTAGATTAATGAGTGGAGTAGAGGTGGACTTTTTCAAGGCACAGTAACAGGTCTTTGAGAGCCAGAATTCTTGCTGTTTCTCAGGTGTTCAAATACTTATGTTCAGCAGTGCAAGACAAATAAATTCTTTAAAAATCATACAATGTGATTTCCTGAAATGTTTTTTTAATTCTGTCTCTCAGAGTGGGAATGCACCTACAATGTGAATTTCAGACCCCTCCATGATTTCTAAGTGGGAGAACTTGCAAAATCACAGGGTGTTCAAATACTTCTGTTCCTCACTGTATGGAACAGCTGTAAAGCCAGATAAATATAAACTGGAAACAAAAAAAGCACAGACCGGTTGTTTGGTAATTCACTAAGAGCATCGTACCTGTCTCCCCCTGCTGCCAGAGTCCAGCTTGCAGTGTCTCCTGGACGTCCTCACCAGCTCCGGCTCAACTCCCACTCAGCATCTGGAGCAGAAACAGGCTCTGGCTCGTCAGTTCGCCCACATCATGCACTTCACGCTGCGCTTCGACGAGCTCAAGGTCTGCCGCTACGCCTCCTGCACCTGCTGTAGCTCATCTGCTCGTCATCTTCACGGCCTTCATCTCTGCTCTGCTGTCTGTGTTTCAGATGACTAACCCCGCCATCCAGAACGACTTCAGCTACTACCGCCGAACCATCAGCCGCATGCGAATCAACAACTTGTCTGTAAGACACAAACATAACTGAATAAGATGTCAAGGTGTGATCACACAGTGGTGGAGAGACACTACGTACCTACAAACATAAAATCAGAAGTGCTGCCTGTTACAGTCACTGTTGCCACCAGGGGCTGTTGAACAAGACACAGACAGAGAGGGAGGGGGAATGAGAACAGACTGTGTTAAAGTAGGCAATAAAACAGACCAGCTGATGGTAGCACACATGGAAACAACAGTGCAGAATAGTACGGAGGCAGAGCAGCGTGTGAACGAGAGAAGTCACTGGTTTACAGAGCTGTGGGTGGGTGAGGTGGCGCGTGAGCACAGCAGCAGCTGCCACACTGTTTAGCACCTCCATCCAAATGTCCTGCCATTAACCACAAAACACTGCAGGGTTTCTGTTCTGGGCCAGCAACATGGAAATACTCCACATCCTGTGCACTGGGTTCAAATGGCACGGCAGGTGGTCTTTTCTGGACCACCTGTAACTGATGTGTTGAAACTTCTTCCACGCTCAGTTTTAGAGGTGATGACAAAAACCTGGCAGCACCGCAAACTGCTGCAGCGTTACAAGGAAAGCTAGGAGCTTAAGAAACGTTGGCTTGTTTATGATTTTATTTGTCTTGGTGTGAAAAAATGACTCCAGGAGGGTGTTGATGAGGCGAGACCTGCTACAAAACAGAATCACTGCTCAGTCACCAATTCCACGCACTACAGGTGCATCCCAATAAATTAGAACATCGTGGAAAAGTCCATTTATTTCAGTAATTGAACTAAAATAGTGAAACTTGTGTATTATATTAATTCAGTGCCCACGGACTGAAGTAGTTTAAGCTGTTGGGTCTTTTAATTGTGATGTTTTTGGCCTACATTTAACAAAAACCCACCAATTCACTATCTCAGTAAATTAGAATACCTCATAAGACCTATAAAAAACATTTTAGTGAATTGTTGGCCTCTGGAAAGTATGTTCACTTACCGTATATGTACTCAATACTTGGTAGGGGCTCCTTTTGCCTCAGTTCGGCGTGGCATGGAGGTGATCAGTCTGTGGCACTGCTGAGGTGGTATGGAAGCCCAGGTTTCTTTGACAGTGGCCTTCAGCTCATCTGCATTTTTGGTCTCTCATTTTCCTCTTGACAATACCCCATAGATTCTCTATGGGGTATTGTCAAGAGGAATACGACAACTGAAGCCAAATTCCTTGACACGGCGGTGTGTGGTGGCCCTTGATGCCTTGACCCCAGCCTCAGTCCATTCCTTGTGAAGTTCACCCAAATTCTTGAATCGATTTTGCTTGACAAGACTCTCAAGGCTGCGGTTCTCTCGGTTGGTTGTGCACCTTTTTCTTCCACACTTTTTCCTACCATTCAACTTTCTGTTAACATGCTTGGATACAGCACTCTGTGAACAGCCAGCTTCTTTGGCAATGAATGTTTGTGGCTTACCCTCCTTGTGAAG